AAACATTTGATAATCGACAACAATGTATGAGAAAAGTAAAAGAAATTTTTCTTGAAAATCGAAAAAAATATGAAGCCCATGTCAAAGAAACAGGTGAAACAGAATCATTATTCAATGAATTGTCATTAAATATGAAAGACAATGAATGGGCTGAAATTGTTGCTAATAAAGAAAAAACATAGTACATGGTCAAGAGAAATTGAACAAGAAGATAATCCTGATTTTAATATTATACATAAAAGAAAAAATAAAAATACGTTCATTGATTTGAAGCAAACTTATGCTACTACAGATGAAATGCGACCGTTGTTAGAATCGATGAACAATGAGCAACAAGAAGTATTTTATCGTGTTAGAGAATGGTGTACAAAACGTTTGCATAATCCTGATGTCGAACCTCTTCGTTTATTCATTACAGGAGGAGCAGGCACAGGTAAAAGTCATCTTTTGAAATGTCTTCATTATGAAGCAACGAAAATTTTTTCTCGTAAAAAACACTTAGAACCTGATGAAAATATTGACGAGATTCATACATTGATTACAGCTTTTACTGGTGCTGCAGCTGTCAATGTTGGTGGAGTCACTATTCATAGTGCATTCGGTATTGGTACTCAATCTAATAGTTTAAACGATCATTTATCTTGTGATAAATTGAATAGTTATCGATGTAAATTGCACTCTCTTAAATTATTATTTGTTGATGAGGTTTCTCTCATACAAGCAAGTCTTTTGGGAGCAATGCATGCTCGTCTTACTCAAATCATGGGTATACATTCCAATACAGCTATTTTCGGTAATGTTGGAATAATCGCTATTGGTGACTTTTATCAATGTTCACCTGTTGCATCTTCAAGTATTTATTCTTCTTTACTTTGGTCTGATCATTTTGAGTACATCGAACTCAAAATCAATGAAAGACAAAAAACAAATAGTTCCTTTTCACAAATGTTAAATCGCATACGAAAACTTAAAAAAAAAGGAAGATGTAGATAAAGAAGATCGTGACTCACTTGAAAAATGTCATCAACGGTATTTGCATAAGGAATATCATCCAGAATCATTACATTTATTTGCTAAAAATACTCAGGTGGATGCACATAACGAAGAGATGATTGAAAAAATTTGTACCAATATTCGAACATTTTATGAAGTTGAAAGCAATAATAAAGAAATAAAAGAGAACGAATCTAAAAATAAAAAAGTAATAAATAAGCCATTACGACTTGCTAGAAATGCTAGAGTAATGATTACCAAAAATATTTGTGTAAATGATGAATTAGCAAATGGTGTTACAGGTCATGTTGGAGAATTTGTAGAAAGTAATAATACAGAAGTTTCTCATATAATAATGAAATGTGATTCACTTACAATTGGACGACTTCATCGAGTTAGTTGTTCACATTGTCATGGAC